CAAGTATCTACAACAGTCCTTCAGTCAGCTCCCCGCCAAGGGGATCCTTTCCTCCCTGCCCCTGTTCCCGTTCCCCACTCTAAGCACCTCCCAATGGTGTTGAAAAACATTAGAAATGTTTCACCCCAGAATGTAATTCTTTGACATATTTTGAGATGGCTGCCATGAGCCTCCCAGACAGAAGTAACTGCAAAGCTGTCCTTTCTGGGAGGAGATCTCATCTGCAGAGAACACAGCCAGGTCTATCCTTTCCTGATCTAGAAAAGATGAACTGAGAGTCTGACACCTTTAGAGGTCGGAGAAGAAACGTTGACCACCTACCTATTCACTCTGAGGGCTGCTACCGGCAAGGTTTCACTGACTGACAAGACCACCTTTGCTAGCTAGTCAAAGCCTCTTCCTCTCTCCCTCCCCAAATCTGCTTTTCTGCTTTCCAGCCCCCATTCTTTAAAAACCTCTGTTGAAATAAATCTGTGTAGCTTTTCTCTTAGTAATCTGCTTGACTGTGAGTCGATCTGGGGGAAGTTTTCCCTTCGCCCCAACAGTGTACCACGTAGTGCCCACACATCTTGGCACTTAATTACACATATTTGGACTTGGATTGTTCTTTATCCCTTCACCTGTTACTCTTTGCTCCCCTGGTTTTAAGTCCCACGTTTGGACTTTCTGTAACTTCAAAGAACCTCGTGGAGCGCTGACTGTGGCTTCAGCAAATATTTATGGGTTTACTGTTTGCTCAAAAGGAGACTCTTTCATTAATAACAGAGACGTGGGACATTCACAGCCTGGTCACTGACAGCAAGGGTGTGGGAGCCAGCGCTGGGCTGGAGCTCTGCTACTTTCTGCCCTGTAACCTGGAGCAAGCCTTCCCTTCTCCCAGCTCCTTTGCTCTTCTCGAAAATGGGGACAATTAAAGTACCTACTTGCTGGGATTGTTTGGGGAGTCAATGAAACAAACAAATAATAAAGACCTCGGTGTAAAGAAAGGTCCAGTGCTATGAACAGTAAAAGCACATAGTAAGCACTCAATAAATGGCAGCTCTTGTTATCAAAAACAATCTTGTGCCTGAACTATTTGGGAGGAGGTGCGGGAAGGTAATCGGGGGGTGGGGACAATGCCACCTGTCACTGGCAGGTCCTGCTCCAAAGGGGCTTTTCTTAGTATTACCTGCACTCCTTTTATACTGGAATTAGATAAATCTGATGCCTTCTCTTTGGCTCTTTAAAACAATTCCTAGTGACTAACACAGGTAACCTGTTTTTTACAAATCTCCATCAGGTACTTCTTAAAAATGTGATTACTTTGATACTGAAACTATAGTTATGCAAGGTTGTTAACACAGGGGTCTCTGGGTGAAGTGTGTATTGGGAACTCTTTACTCTTTTGCGACTTTTCTGAAAATCTTAAATGACTTTAAAAGTTTTAAAGATATGACTACTAATTAGTTATTTCCTTGTGTTTGACTTCCTATACTTAGGCTTGGATTCCCTTCACACACATAATGGTATTTCAAAAACAGACTCCAATTCTCATTGGTGTCATTAAAATATCTTCTATTTCCACCATTTAAATATTTAACCATCAAATTGACCATCTGTGTGACTTTGGGTGACTTAGTTCCCTTCTTTTGGCCTCATTTTCTTTATAATAAAGTAAACGTGCTCACAGATTTAAGTTAGCTGCGTAAAGTACTGGGAAAGGGGCCCTTTTGTGCAAAGCAGTCAGTAACTGTCAGCTGCCGTTGCTGCTATTATCTGCTACGGTCTGAACGCTGGTGTCACTTCACGATTCATAAATTGAAACTTAATCCCTGATGTGACAGTAGCGGAGGTGGGGCCTTCGGGAAATGAGGAAGTGATGAGGGCTCTGCCCTCATGAATAGCATTAGTGCCCTGATAAGAGAGATTATGGATTGCAACCACCCTTCAACAACCAGGTACAAGGCAAGCGGTGAAGGCCTAGATATATAACAATGATGATAAAAATTAGTCGCTGTCCCCGTTTTCTACTCTATAATTGCCACTCGGGAGCCACGCAGCTGGTGTCCGTAAAGATTCTTAACTTTCTCCGTAGATAACATCACCTTTTTGAAACCTAAAGGTCATATTTAAGGTATCGTCCAGGCCCTGCATTCCAGTGGACTGATTGGCCCACCCAGACCACGGCCCAGACCAAGAAACCAACTCAGCTAGAATTGTGACCCCAGGGACTGGAGCAACACAAGAAGGCAACTTCTACATCCCTATAATTTTGCCCCAATTAGAAAACTTGTTTACCTAATCCATTGCCTGCCAAACTATCCTTAAAAACCCCATCTCCCGAGTTCTCAGGGAGGTGGATTTGAGAAATTTCTCCCATCTCCCCACTTAGCACTATTCAGAATATAGACTCTTTCTCGGGTATAAAACCTGCTGACTCAGCACATTGGCTGCTTCTTGAGCAGTGGGCAAATAAGTTCATTTGGGCAGCACCACCGTGTGAGGACACAGCCAAGGAGACATCCATGAAGCAGACAGCAGCCTTCACTGAACACTCAGTCTGCTGGTGCCTTGATCGTGAACCTCCCAACCTCCGGAACTATGAGAAATAAACTCCTATCATTTATAAATTGCCCAGTCTAAGGTAATTTGTTATAGCAGCCTGAATGGAATAAGACACTTTTACTATTAAACCATTGCTGAATTCACATTCCTAGAGTAGAGCTTTATCTCTACAAAAACATTAAAACTAACTCTCAGGAGACTTGACCGAGACAGTTACTGTAAGTCACACTGGTTGGTTTCCATGTGTGCAAAGTCCATGCCCAACTCTGAAAGGTACAGTCCTTCAAGATGATTCCACAATTGTGAGTCAAGTTCAACTCCTGACGACAGTGGAGCCATTAGCACGATGTGAGCTCTGGCATTATGCGACCTGGCCTCCTCTGCTGCCTGCGTACCTCGTGCCGCCCTGGCTAGGGCATCTGTGCCCCTCTGTGCAGCTTCACATCTGTAAGCCTTGAGGGGCTAAAGAAGAGACTGGAAACTCAGGCAGCACCATATGGTTGCTGCTTTTATTACGGAGGAAGGCGAGGGGCAAGTCCAGCATGCACAGTGTGGGTTTTGCTTTGTATCGAGACACAACAAATGCAAGCTAAACATTTAATAACTCTGTCCAGGCATCCCTGCCTTACGGTGAGCCATCATGTGCCACATGTCGACCTCATAATTAAACTGTGACTATTCACCTGTGATGTCTAGTCTACTGCCAGCAATGGCAGCTTTAGAAATAAAGAAAAAGCACAGACATGTTTAGCCGACAGGCATTCCACTTCACGTTTCTCAATCCCTTACCACCTACTGAGACTATGTTTTATGGTAATTTTCTCCCAAACTGCATGCTCCCCACTCCCAGTAAGTGGTTTTGACAATACAGGAGCTTAGGGGACAAGAGAGAGAAACAAGAGTAAGGCTGTCTCGTTGCAAACGTTCTCATGGCCAAGTTCGTGACCGCTGAGTAGCCCCACCCCCTTCAGGCAGACAGCATCGGTGCCCGGTCAGAGTGGCCCTGGCTGTCAGCAGAGACAAGGGCACCGTGGACTCCATCTACAGCACCAGCCCTGTTAAAGGGAAACGTAGGAGACAGCCGCAGCCCCGCATGCAAGAGAGCAGCCAGCAGGATGTGGAGAAAATAAAGGAACTTCTCTAAAACATGAAAAATCAAAAGGGATTCTGGTCTATGACATAGATTTCATTCCCGATTCCATCTGGACCATCAGCTATAGTTGGCTTGTTCGTCTTAAGTTATCCAGAGACAAACTGCATCCCCTCTCCCAGCAATACCTCAGAATCCTTCGTTTGGATTTCCCTGAATTCTTACCTGAGAGGACAGCCCTGGGGAGAACATTTGCTTATTTTTCAAAGGAAAAAAAAATGTGACGATGCTTCCAAAAGCAAGTGTCTCTCAAACTCTCCCCTCCCCTTTTTTCTTCAACAGACCCTTCCAACCTTTCTTCTATCTTCTGAAACCCACAAACAAATAACATTAGAGTCCTTCTCTCCATGTTTATGAAAGCTTCCGATTCCTAAGCACAAACGGATGAGAACGAATGCCCCTGTCGAGAGTATGGTAGGTGGCTGGTCCCCGAGGGCGCCCCGCGAGCGAGGAGACAAGGCTGAGTCGGAGCGTGAACCATAAATCGATGTGAAGTGGGTCACGGCGCAGAGAGGCCAAGTCATCCTGAGGACACAGGATGGGCCCGGGGACGGGACGACTCCGGGATGACTTGATTGTGCCGACGCACCTAAGGTAGATTTGGTGGGAAAGCCACGCTGTGGCAGAGCCCACCCAGACCCAGCCCGAGGTGGGAATTCCGGTCCCGGGGCCAGCTGTCTCTAGGGGGTGTCATAATTACCAGCACAGCATCTGGAGCCAAATGCCTTGGTTCCAATCCCAGCTCCTCACTTAATAACTGCGACACTGCAAGTGCCCGATCTCTCTGTGCCTCAGTTTCCTCTTCTGGAAAATTAGGCGAATAATCCTAACTATTTTCTAGAACAGTTTTAAGGACTAAACAAGTAATCTATGTGAAGTTCCTGGCACCAGACCCAACACAGAGGAAGCACAGGCACTGGACGGCAGTTGCTATGGTGGATTTATCTGGCCGTCAAAGTCCGATGCTACTGAACACCTGGACCATCCATCACCACCTCCCCTTGCCCCAGTTCTGCTCTCTCCAACAGCATTTTGATTCATTGGCTTCCCTGTCCCCCTGTCACTGGGAGGAAAATACACCGGCCATGCTGTCAAAATGGCCCAATCCACAGGGTGGCTATGACTTTGTATGACATTGAATATTTGGAAATTCAGGTGTACAGACCGGTCTCCTGGGGGATCCTTTAATGCACATTCGCAGGGCTCGGAGGCTGTGATGGGTCCACCTCTGGCCCAGCCCCTGCTTCAGCTGGACCTTTGTCCCCATGCCCGTCCACATTGCTGCTCCCGGACAAGTGTGTCTTACCCGTGACGTGAAGCTTTTCATCGGTGACCTCAGCCTTCAGGTAAATCCGCCCCCTCTTCTCCGTGTGATCCATTCCGCAGAGGCTGGGGACGTTGATTACGCACTGCTTGTGAACATTCATGTCGCAGGCTGTGAATCAAGGAAGCAAAGGGCGAGATGAGCATATGGACTCCAGCCGTCACTCCCTCGGTGTTTTGGTGAACGAGCAGAAGTGAAAACGAGTTGCCCCCTAACTCAATACTTTGTTATAATGTTTTTGGTGACATAAAGAACTGCTAGCAGATGTCCCTACAGCACAGGCTTGATGTGAGTGACAATATCCTTAAAATACCCGCACCATATTGGTTCAGTCTTAACCGAAGCAAACTACCCCGGCTTGGCCCTCAGAGGCTGTTTCAAATATTAAAACCGTATACAAAATTCACGCAGGTAACTGTGTCCAAAGCTCGGACTAATTAATATTTTATGCACAGAGGCGAAAAATATGCGCATTTTGAAAACAAAGGACACTTTCTGCCAAAGAATTCCTTATGCCTTTCTGAGCTCACCACTGAGAAACAGCAAAAAAAAAATCTGTGGGTTGAGTATAGGAAATTCATAAAATTTCCCTTTCCTCAGCTAACCCTGTATTTTCAAGAAGGTTTCAGTACGTTGCCTTTGTTTTGTTTTTCCTTCCCAAAGAACTTGTGTTTGATATTTTAAACCTGTCTTCAAATACTTAAATAATATTCCAAGTAAAACAAATACACGCCCGGCATGATAAGCCATTCCTTACGGCTGACATCACGTGGGCGAGGCGGGGGAGGATAAAAAAAGATCAGTCTTGTTGCAATGAACCAAGGAAACCCTGAAAAGAATCCTGTGCACTGGATATAAACAGAAGACTCTGTGCGTGCGTTCCGGCTCTGTCGTCCTCGCAACTCTAGGCTTCCAGGAGGAGGGATGGCCCCTGGCATCCTCATAAATCCTGGCTGGGAGGCCAGAGAGGTTATTCTGCGACCTTCGAGGTGGTCCCTTCCTACCCACTTCATCGTGAATGTTTAATTTTAACATGGCGCAGTAAATTGCAAAAAGCATCATGAATAATGTATATTTGCTGTGATTAGACACTGAAAGCAGGATAATGGACACAGTAAGGAAAAAGCAATGAGCTGATTCACAGATGTGGATTCTGTTGGGCTTCTATTTCCAAAGCTAATTGTTCAAAATCCTGTACCTTCATTTAGCCAATAGGAAGGCTCTTGAAAAGTTGTGTTATGCATATAACTTAGGTTAAGTAAGTCCTATCCTTATGTGTCTGGACAGAATTTGCAATTTAAAGGAAAGAAATGCCAGAGCCTCTGGAAAGTATATGGGCAATGGGGGTGGGGGTGGGGGTGGGGTGGGAGGTAGAAGTTAACTGGGTTGTGTTCTTGTCTCAGCTCTACTGTTAACTGGCTTTTATATCTTGGGAAGCTCATCTGCTCTCTTCTGATTCCATTTCCTACCCTACAGACTAAAAGGTTGGCCTACACAAGTTGTTGCTAACACCTCTCAGCCCTACTGCCAAGCGGAATTATCTACTGCATCGATCCCCAACTTTTTTGGCACCAGGGACTGGTTTCACGGAAGACAATTTTTCCATGGATGGGGTGGGGGGATGGTTTGGGGATGATTCAAACACATCACATTTATTGTGTGGTCAAACCTCTCTGCTAATGATAATTTGTATTTGCAGCCACTCCCCAGTGCTAGTATCACCATCTCAGCTCCACCTCAGATCATCAGGCATTGGATTCTCATAAGGAATGTGCAACCTAGCTCCCTTGCATGCACAGTCAGTTTACAGTAGGGTTCATGCTCCTATAACAATCTAATGCGGCTGCTGATCTGACAGGTGGAGCTTATGCAGTGATGCGAGTGATGGGGAGTGGCTATAAATACAGATGAAGCTTCACTGGCTCCCCTCCTGCTGTGTGGCCTGGTTCCTAACAGGCCACTGACCAGTACCGGTCTGCAGCCAGGGGCGTGGGGACCGCAGATCTCTAGGACTGCAGTTGTACAACGTGTAAAGGGCCAGGAAGAGGCTGCTTCTCCACGCAAGTTAAAGGTAGGGGCTGGGGTCCTGGTGCCCATTTGCTAGTTCTTCTCTTCCTTCCAGAAAGGAACAGGGCAACAGCCCCAGAAGCCCTAAGACTCCAAGGAAGAGTTAAAACAAAACAAAAACAACAAAACAGTACTGGTCCAGGTCAGTTGTTTTCAAAATTTTTTAGTAGTGGAAGCTGTTTTTCAAACAAAATCTAAAGCAGAATTCTAATATATAAATAAACCAGATGAGTGTTATTTTATTAGCATAAACTCAGTTAATAAATTCAAATTTATACCATGTACTTATGATAAAGACATTCAAGGATCACCAGTAAAGCCCTCTGATCCAAACAAAACTCTGAAACCAGTTGTTAGGGATGTTAGTTGTTGTCTCAGACCAGCCTCCACAACTCATTTATTTCTGGATTTTGTTAAAGTTGTTCAGCATCCAAAAATCCTGATTTATACAGAAGAGTCTATGCAAACAGGTACGGTATTTACCAGTATGCTTCACAATCCCAGCAGACTAGTCTATTAAGTGGATGTGGCAAGAGAAACTTGACTCCAAGTTCTGCCCAACGAGTGAAGCTGGCAGTGTAACCTTTCCAGTGTCCTCTCTAACTCTGTCAGTGTGCTGAGTATGTAACATGTTCGAATGTTCATTTTTCTTCCAAGTTTTCAAACAGTTAAAAGTATATTTACAAATGCACTTGGAATTAGCCTTTGCAGAACCCCTGAAAACCATGTCTTTGGAATCCTAGGGTTTCCTGAAGCACACACGGCCACTGGCCTGGATAATAGCAAAGGTTTTGTTGTTAAACTGTACGACTGTGCAAGGTGAAGAATCCCTGTGTTCTGGGAAACTCTGCACCTCCTCTATAAGGTTCAAATACACTGACTTTTACATACTGTGTTTGCTCCATGTAGAATACAAACACAAAGCCTGTGGCCATTATAGTCATCATTCATGAATGACAATATGCGTAAGTTTCCAAATGCCTCCCTATTATAGTTTTTATACTAGACAGGCTCGGTAATTACCTTTTCATGTCCTAAAAGCATACACTTTCATTTAAACAAACAGCCTGGGGAATCTTATAATTTAAGAATTATCGAAGCAAAGAGTTTCCATAGGTGTTTTTCTTTCCTTTCTTCCTGGTGTTTGGTAGAGACACACACAGAATGACGTGGGCTGATGTCTTCCGTGTCAGTGTTCCTCAATGATTTCACCTCGAACTGGACTGATATAAATTTGATCTGTCCATAAACATGCAGGGTGAATGAACCGAAGTAAGATGCTATTTATGTTCACTTTGGTTTTAGTTTTAAGGAGAGCCTACTGGATTTTTCCAGTCCACCCACTAATTAGAGACAAGGAAGATAATGACTATGGTTGCTTAGCTTATTTTGAAGCCTAACCAAATGTGGGATCTGGAGGTAGGAGTCTTTTCTGGGGTGTGACCAGCCTGCAGTTTACAGTGATCGAAGATTTCTACCACTAAAAAAAAAAAAAAAATTATGTGATAGCACCCACCAATTTCATATAAATTGAGGCTTTTTTTGGCTGTTCATAATCGGTCAATTAAGTAGTTTAATAAACAAGAACTTCAACAGGGGAAGATTCTACCCTTTTTCAGTCTGGTATATATCTGAACTCATTCTCTCTATTGATGAGTTGGTGCTGGAAAGTTACTGAACCTTCAGCACTCAGTGAACCCTGGGCATGGGGTGCAGAGCCCCACTGCGACCTGGGAAGGAAAACTTACTGTCACATTTCATCCCTTGATGGATAAGTCCGTACAGCAGCGACCCGCAGTGATCGCAGAAGGTGGGGCTCCCATAGGTGTGGATTTTGAACTTGTGCTTGCTCCTGGGGTCCTGGGAAGAGAAGAAGCACAATGCTCATTCCAGTCAAGAAAAGGCCACGTTTTTGAACGAAGCCAAGCTCAGGCCCTGCCACCGCCATGTCAAGGCTCAGTAACAGCAGACTGTTCTCTGGAGTCGCGCAACAGGTGGAAGTGACTCTGGAGTCACTGGCTGGTTCAGATTCCAGCTCTGCTGCCTCCCAGAAGCATGCATGGCCTTAGATAACTTATTTATCCTTTCTGCCTCCTCTGTAAACTGAGACATTAACAGCACCTGTCTTATGTGGTTGTTGTAAGGACAAAATGAGTGACTCTTTGTGAAATGCTTAGAAGAATGTCTTAGGCAGGCAGGTGCCATGTAGAAAGAGCAGGTAACCTTTGCTTCTGGGGCCTCCGTTTTCTAACACGTGCAAGAAGGCAGCATACAGATCTGTATGTTCTACCCGAACTGTAAAACAATTTCATACTCAACATGTACACGTGAGGACCCCTCCTTATTAAAACTCTTCCTCCCAAATCAGTCTTTGTGGCCTGAGCAGCTGTCAACACAGAGCTGCCATCAACTGAATTAGGAAAGACCACAGAAGAGCAGAGTTTGGGGAAGGGCAGGAGGTCCAGAGTTCCGTGTTAGACGTGTTAAGCTTGAGCTGTCCTTTAGTGGTCCAGTGCAAATGCAGGGAGGCGCAAGGAAGGATATTCCTGCCTTCTGACTTTCTAAGGCCCCAGGTGCTGGTGATTTAAAGGAATTCCAAAGGTGATTTTGACTTTATAATTCACCTTTTGATTGACTTTGGAACCTAAAATCTAAGCCATACAGATGTCAGTGAGTTATTGTGATTACTTTCTAAAGACATAGATTTGAAAATTCTGCAATATTTCAATCACACAGAGGAGTATAAAGAATAGTAAGGCAAACATATATGCGCCACCCAAATTAAATAAAAAGTCAGCATTTCTCCCTATTTTTCACTGTACAATTATCTTCATTTTACAGAGATGTTAATGACCTTCCCAGAGTCACATGGCCGACGAGTGTCAGACCTGGGATTTGACCAATGTAGGATTCTCGTCCCACGAGTATGGTCCCGGCGCAGCATCATGTTGCCTGGGGCTTGTTTGAAATGCAAACCATTTAGCCCTTTCCCAGACCAAGTGAATCAGAAACCCTGGGGCGGGACCTCCCAGCCTGTGTTTTAACAGGCCCTGCAGGTCCTTCTAAGGCTGGCAGCTGCTTTAGAACAAGAGAGTTTCCTGTCATTCAACAGCTGTTTAGAAAGCACCTCTAGGTGCTAGGGGAATCCATGTGTGGATGATTAACAACATTCTTGAGGCAGGTCACCGGTTTACCTCCTAAGTGTCTCTCTCAGGGTACGAAAAATCAACTTCTTCTTCAAGAGATTGTTTTTCATAGAAAGGAGCCGTGACTATGGTCTGAAGTTAGACATCCAACTGTTAAAGGAGTCCACCAACTTCCCCAGTATCCCAGGACATTCGGCAGAATGTTGGGGGAGCAGGCTGGTATTAGCACCAATTACAAGTACCCACACTGACAGGAAAGGTCGTGTCCTACAATGTGGAGGGCAAAGAACACGCTAGGGAAAAGGAAGCAGGCAGTTTTCCCTGTAGAAACGAGGCATCCACAACCGGCACTAAATAAATAAAGAATGGCAGCTCGCACAGAGCCCTCTGGAGTATGCGTGTGCCAGGCGGCCCCAGGGAGGCTGTCATGCTGGTTGGTTGTCAAATAGATCTCTATTGATGTGGCACATGGGCAACTTGCTTCACTTTTCAGGAAAGCCTAAGTCTTACTCATCCAACAGCCATATGGCATCTTCAGGCTCTAGCCATTTGGAGGTGTAGGAAGAGGAAGCCATCGCTTCCACCTCCCGTACAAGTCTGGAGAGCCACCAAGTCTTGGAGTCTTCACACCCCAACATCACACACATGGACAAGGATCCTGCCTATGAATTACAAAGACAATGACAATAACACCACCACTACTTGCTTGTTGATTGTCAAGTATGTGCGGATGCTTTACAATAAATCTCTGTGTAGAACAAGAGTTTCCTGTGGAAAGAGCACTTCCCAGACCTGCATCTGACCCAGCCCCGACACAAACCTTGCAACCTTGGAAAAGTCATGTCACTTATTTATAAGGCAGAAATAAAAGCAGCCTGCCCATGTCATGGGCTGGGAGTGAGGGTCTACTCAGGGAGCCTATGAGAAAAGTTTTGCAGCCTGAAAATCCCCAAAGAGAAGAAATTGTTATTATTATATTATCCTTAGAAGTAAAGTTCAAGGTGCCCAAGGTTTACCCAAAATACTTCCCGAATGGGAAGGAACAGGACACCGATCAGCTTCAGCCCTGCAGGGGGTCCGAGGGGAGGCCAAGCTGGCAGCAGGCAGGGGATTCCTCTCGGGTCCTGTGTTCCTGTCCTCTACACTCCACGGCCGGACTTTCGAGACAGGTGGTGTTTTGGGAAACTGTCAGCCCAAACCACCCCATGCGCTGTCTGCACCGCAGAGATGCAGCGCAGGAGCACGGAAACTCGTTTCCAGTCTAATGAATCTCACCTAGTCTGACAAAAGAAACCACAGTGTTGGCCGAGGAGCTGTGACTCACCATTTGCAGAGAACAACTCCTCCTTAAAAACTCCCCAGGCTCTAGGTGTTTCCATCCATAGCCACTAAACAACGATGCATTTTACTTCTTTGGGCTCTGATTTCCTCATCTGGAACCTGAGAGGTTGGGTTGGATCAGCATTTTTAAAATGGTATTTCACAGAGCCCTGCGGTTGTTAGGAGGTGCCTGGGGCTGCTGAGGAACGGGGTGGGAGAAGGCAAAAGAGCAAGACTACTGCTAAAATTAAAATGGAAAACAACTGGACTAGATCATCTCTTTGATTCCATTTTGCTTAAAAAATCTTTTTAATTTGAAATAATTTAAGACTCACAAGAATTCACAAACATAGTACAGACTGTTCCTGCATACTCTTCATGCAGCTTCCCCAGTGATAACATCTGACATAACCATGGCACATTTGCAGAACCAGGACGTGGACGTTGGTACAATACCACCAACTACACTGCAGGCTTTAGAGTTTCGCCACATTTTTACATGCATGGTTCCAATGCAACTATTTTTATTATACAACTTATGAGTTAACTATACTGTTTACCAAGTGGGGAACATAGTAATATTTGCTTTTTAAATACCACTAACTCAAAGGAGAATGGCACCAAAGGAACATCTGTTACTTCTTTATTAAATACATAACCCTCTGGATCTCATGTTCAAGAGTCGTGGGAAGATAAGTCTAAAGATTTATCTGCAAAGTAGAATTAAGATGCTTTTCTCTAAGTAAAGGAAACAGGCTGTTTCCAAACCTCTCTGACCTGTTTTTCAAAACAAAATCATTTTGAGGCACAGGTTGACTAAGGATTGATCTGAAGTATGGCGCTAGCCTGAGTCACGGGAGATTGACAGGTGGGTAAGGTCTGGGGCTTCCAGGTGATGCTTGTAACCTGGATGGAAAGACAAGACAAGCAACAGAAGGCCAAGGCATGTGCTATCTCCCACTGGCCCCAGAGTAGGTTTCAGGATAGTTGCCAAATGAATCATGCAAACAGTGACTCCAGGGGTTTGTGTGGCCAGAGTGTATATGGAGCGGAGCTGGGCCCTGGAGGAGCTGAATCTTAGGGGTCCTCATGTCCAAGTCTCATGGTCCTCAGGTTTGAGAAGCTCAGGGTTCTTTCTTACATCTATAGACCCTGACAACCAGTCCTTCACTCGGGTGAGCCCAGGTGGCACCCCAGGGCCTCTCATCTGTGCCTTCATGTTGGCTGTTCCCTCCACCTGCCATAACCACCTCATGCCAAGACTTCACCTGCTGAAATACCTAACAAGTCAATACTGAAGGCTCCTTCTCCTCCAGGAAGTCTTTATAGATGTCAGTACCGGATACAATTTTTCTCCTTCATCTGACCTTCTGAAGCATTTTTACTTCTTTTATAATATTAATACGTGTCACTTATCACATTCTGCCACTATGACAATTATGGTTCTGTCTACCTACCTCCCCTACCATTTTTTCATCATTTATCTCACACACACACACAGAGAACTGACACGACTGTTTAACAGAGAGGAAAAAGAGGTCCTAAAGGATGCCGCTGACTTAGGGACTGTGCCGGACCAAGGATAAGCATTACGTTTTAAGTATTAACTTTACCTCTGAGCTTCCTGGAAACCAAAGCAAAAAAGAGAAAGAGATAATAGGTTCCTGAGGGACTAAAAAGCTATCTGAATGCAGAAGTCTGTCTTTTGTAACCTCTGAAATCATTTTGTCTCATATATGGTAGACCTTCAATAAATGCATATGAAAGCAACTACCAAATCCTTAACAAAGCACACTTCTATCACTGTGCATCTGAGGGTTCTAGACAAAGTTATCCCACAGATAAGTTACAGCAAGTCTGGCCACACTTAGTGCCACACAGAAATGGCTGGTGCACAGCAAGTCTTCACTATTACCAAGTTAATAACATTCTCCTTTTTAGTGAAACACATGACATAAATCTTCCTTTTTACTTCTCTAGGCACTGGCAGCCTCTCATTAAGTGGAGAGTGAAACCTGCTGTCATATGTCACAAGCCTGACATTACATTATAATGAAAGGGGAAAACATACAACTCAGATACTTCTGCCATATACGTAGTTGGGGGAAAAAAATGAAAGTTTTGAGTAAATCTCTTTTCATAGGCACAAATGAAGTCTAACCCACAAATCTAAATCTAGACCTCTTAGGAAAAAACAACAAATGAAAAATTCAAGTTCTATTGAAAGCATCTGCTAGCCTGTTTCTAATTTCTTAGCTTTATAATATAGCAGCTTAATTAGCCTTCCTTGGAAACATTTCTCAACATTTCTACCAAGACTTTTCAAAGTCTTTCTTTATCATCATCATCGTTACCACCATCGTTTTGCAATTTGTTAAAATAAACCCATGGATCTACATGGCACAGAATTTTGATGTTGACTCGGCTTTAAATTTCCTAGATGCATTCTTGTTGCATTATCTGGAACCATCTGGAAGGCAAATCTTAGGTAAGTTTGCAATCACAGTCTTCAAGGACAGAGACTAATGTAGCAATGTGCAGAGTGAAACCTCTAGAGGAGTTAACGCTCCCTGCACACCAGGAGGCAGGCGACCAGTGATGTGTTCTGATGAGGACGTTTATATTTGAATAGACATCACTTCACATGCCCTTTTAATGTGATGAGTAAAATAATGGCAGCGTTTTGGCTAGAGGTCATCCTGGCTTGGATTTTCCACCCATATTTGAATGCCTCTGAAATGCCCCACAGGTTTCTCTCAAAGGACCAAAATGTCTGTCACTGAGGACTGGGGTTCAGGCTTTAAGAGTTCCTGGGAAAGACTGTTTTTAACTGAGTGAAGCTCTGGGGTGTGACTTCCTCAAGCACCCGGGACAGTGTGGGTCTCTCAAGATGCTCCCTGTGAATACCAAGGAAAATTCTCCTCTTTCACCATCTGACGCGTTCTCATGATTCATGCTCGTAAGCCAAGCCTGGGTCTAAATGTCACCCACGTGCCGACTGTATAAGAAACACCAAGAACACTGCTCCAAGGGCAAAGCTGGCATCATTTCTGTGATCTTAAATTTCTTGAGAAGCAGTTTTATTTTTAACTCTTCATATAAAAAGTGGCTATTTTTAGATTTTTTGTTAACATGAGAGAATTATCAAAACTAGGCCGTATGATCAGGGTGATTTTATGTAACTTGGGTATCACTGCAATTATTACATTGTATACCACGTGCTAACAAGCAAGACTCCCTCGGCCCTTCTCAGGCACTTTGCCTTTGGTCTTGTCAAATGTTGCCTGTTCTGAGAAAGAGTGAAGGAACTTCCACGTCTGGTGACAGTAACTAATTTTTGATCTGTAAAATAACCTCAGTTTATTCTGACGAATAACATTTGTCTTTACAGTTGGACTAACTTGTCAAATCAGGCTTTGCTAGAATTCTTATGAGTCCTTTGCCCAGCTGTGTGAGATGCTGTAATAAGTAAATGTGAAGC